TGTCGTTTCTGGTCAATTCTGCCTGTATATTGTTATTGTAGAAAAGCCTGTGTACTGGAAACATGGTTTGTCTTGATTCAGAAGTCCATCGGCATTTGGTAAGTCTCGCTCTCTTCTAATCCTGGCCGGAAGAAAGTAACTGGGCGGGAAACACTTTGATGGTTGCTAAGAGATTTGAGGTTTTGGCCAATCATAGAGCAGAGTAGACAAAAGCAATTGTTTTTCAAATTCGTGTTCAGCTGGTAAAATCAAAGGAGCCTTTCCAGCCCCTAGACAGGGCTAAAAATGTCACATTGGAAACCTACACTGGTAGGGATATTTTTAAAAATATAGTTTCGGATTTATTGTGGCCCAGGACTGCCATAACAAAAAATAAAATCTACAGTGAAGTATAAGTGAATCTCGTTAAGGTAAATATTTTATATCAGAGACTGTACGCTAAATACCAAGAAGGGTATGTTTATTTTATGTGATAGTTCTCTGTTTTATACTTGAAACAAGAACGCTCTTAGTAGCGTTCAGTCTCGCTTGCTTGGAGATGAGTTTTGTTGTCAAAGGCCCCGGTGCCGTTATACTACTTTTTCGTTTGGAATACAAAACGAGTGTTGTATGTCATAATGTAAATACTCAAAAAGTAAAAATTGAAAGGAGAGACAGGCCGCACATCTTAGCCTCAAACCGGTGTGAAACCTTTGAAAACCTTCTACATATTGATATTGCTCCATTGAGGAGTACTCTTTCAGGGAATCTACACTCGAAAAATTGAACGATGATTTTTATCGGTATCAGGGGCCTATGACTCTGTCAGGATAAAAATACATAGCTTCTTTGTACCGGACCAAGATACGGCTCGGTACAGTATATGTTCAGCACAGGAAAAATGCGTAAGTTGAACAGAACCTTATACAACACACAGTTAATTCAGTTCGCGCGTATTCCTGTTGAATTTGTTGTCCGTTTTATAAGATATCAATATCGCATGAAAGTAATGACATTTTCCATAGCTGCTTAGTATCTACTTTTAATATCTCCGTACAATCTCAGAGTACAATGTTTAGAGTTGTACACAGCATGCATTTTAGATAGATAGATAGATAGATAGACAGACAGACAGACAGACAGATAGATAGATAGATAGATAGATAGATAGACAGATAGACAGACAGACAGATAGATAGATAGATAGATAGATAGATAGATAGATAGATAGACAGACAGACAGACAGACAGATAGATAGATAGACAGATAGATAGATAGATAGATAGATAGATAGATAGATAGATAGATAGATAGATAGATAGATAGATAGATAGATAGATAGATAGATAGATAGATAGATAGATAGATAGATAGATAGATAGGTAGGTAGGTAGGTAGGTAGGTAGGTAGGTGGGTAGGTAAGAACCTTAGTTTATGGCACGATAAAAAGATCAGCATTGCTGGTGGGGTCGTGCATAGAACAATTACAAGAAAAATAAGGACTACTGAAAGCAAATGTACACTTAAAAATTAAAAACTGTTAAAAGTTTTTTCTTGTATTACAGTATCACCAAGATAAAGCGTTTCATTTTCCCGGAAAATTTCACTTTCTCGTCAAAACAATCACTGACTCAGACAGACTCAGATTAGTTTTCTTGAATTTAGCCTTCAGTACAGCGAACGGGGTTATGTTCTGTGAAATTTATCTACAGTCTGCGGCCCACATCATCACTGATCCACGATTTATTTATTTATTTATTTTATTTTCAAGTTCTTTTTAACCGATCCTTGATCCCTGATTTCTCGATCCTCGATCCTCGATCCTCGATCCTGATTTTCCTGTAAACCTTGAAGTTTTGCTCACTAAGTTTATTCCTTTTTTTTTCGACCACTGAAGTGATCAGTTGTTCCAATGAAAATAATCAACGCTTTCAAGCCATAGAATTCTTGGACCAACCCGTTCCGGTAAAGCTCGATATGGGATTTCTATTAACTATGGACATGAAGTGCTGCAAGTAGAGTGTGCGGTTAGTCAAGTTCAAAGCTACCCGTATAAACACATCCGTGACACGTTAGGGTGGATTTCCTCTGATGCGTTTTTGGCTCCGCACGTTAACGCACGTAGATTTTAATCACGTAAATCAAATAGAGGTAAGACATAAAGTATTGAGATTAAACGTCAAATTAAGCGAGTTTCTACTTTTACGCTTACATAATTGTACGTGCAGCCTTTCATACATTGCCTTTCTTTTATTTGCGAACGCAAATTTTACGCACGTGCGCACGTAAAAATTACGTGACAGTGGATACTTCATATCTCAAGTATTTATAAAGTGCAACACGACTTCACATCGTAACAACTGCGAAAATCTATCAATTAAATACATAAAACAAAGTGAATCTATTTAACCGTACATTTCCTGTAATTGCGACAATATTCGTGGCTTTTTTAGGCGTTAAACGCCTAAAAAAGCCACAAAATCCTGAGGATTTTCCCGCTATAATATTTTCTCATCCTGTGTCCTCGTGTCATTTCAGTCATCGCCGAAATAAACTGCATTCTCATCACGAGACTCATTTCCATACAATGAAAGTCGTCACGATTCTTATCCCCAGTTTCCACGGTCTTCGCTAAGAAAGCGGGGCCTACGAACTAGGTCCGACGAAAAAAAAAATGACTGCATTTTAAGAGTCTCGCTCTGCTCAAGCAAGCGAGACTAACAAGCAGAGTTTTTAATACCTTTTTGAAGAATTAAGTAAAATTACATGTGTAAATGACAAAGTCAGAGATTCGAGACCAACAAATATGTCTCCTGAGCATTATTTTTGAAGTTGCAAACAGCAGAGATAAACTTTGAAAAAAAAAACTGTTAGGCTGAACAGTTTTCAAAAACCCTAATTTCAATCCGTTTCAGTCTTCTTCAGTTTTGCCCATCCGTGGCATCTGTTGTGTTATTTTGAGGTCTTTTGACCGTCCTTTAATGTTTTAAGCGGTTATTTTTATATTTCTCTTGGATTTAACGGACATTTTGTAATATCTAATTTGGCTAGATTTCGTGACACAGCTCCATTACAAAAAAAAATTGTAGTTAACCATTTTCAAGACTAAATCACCTCTCTTTATTACTATAAAATTCGTTTACACAGGTGATTACAATACTACTGTCCTGGCTGTTGAAAGAAATTTTGTTTTCCTCGCTCTGACAAAACAACCAACAGTAAAATACTCTGTAACCTGTAGTCACCGGTTTAAGGTAGAGTTCTTCATTTTCTATTTTTCTTCCAATATGACAAGTTGACTAGCATGTTTCAGGCATTTGGTTTGTGGGGACGAGACAAAGAGGGATGAGCAACAAAACCAGCAAGGGGGTGGGATAGGAAGTGAGAGCGAATTCCCTGCTATCTCTATTCACCCCCTTACTATTCCCCGCTCTCTGACTTTCCGCCGCACTCTACTTTCCTAACACCTGAAACAGGCTACAAGTTGATCAAAATTGGCAATGAAGAGGCCCAGTACCGTACTAGTTAATGGCTGGATTTTTTTTAAAATTTGACTACTGCGTATTACATTATTTACGTTAACTGGTATAAATGAAGGGCCACGTAACTATTCCTTCAGACGAAATGAGAAGCAAAGTATTTCCTGGAAACTACTTTCTACCTTGTAACACCTCATTGGCGAGTTGACACACTTTTTGAGAGGAGACAACTAATTTCTCTTAACCCACCTACTTGCGATACAAACTTTTCTCGGTATCTAGCGCCCTGCCCGTGAGGGAATTATCGCAAGCAGGAGATTCGTTCGCGCGCGACCCATTCTGATCGCTGCTCCAAGCACTCTCGCGCGCAAAATCTGCAGTTGGGCGACGTGATTATACTCTAACAAAAATTTGTCAACTCGCAACGCAACACTGTTGCGCGACAACTTTAACGGTCTCATTTCTAGACTAAGGAAGTAAGAATAACAAAATATCCGATAAGTTACAGGATTATAATCATAATTTGAATACTGTCCTAGCCAATTCCTAGCCTGTGTGGCGGGCGTTATAAGGAAAAGGGGAGGAGCGACATCGGGCGCGCGAAGAGGGGAAAAAAAGCGAACGTCTGCAACGACGGTATCGTTTTCTCCGTTTTCTACGCTCAGATCCCCCTCCCCCTCCTCGCGCGCCCAAATTCCCTCTACCTCTTCTCCTTTAAACGCCTGCCACGAAGGCTTATGATGTCCTTGACATTACTCGAAAAAGAATAAAGCATCTTAGGTGTAAGCCTGGTGATTTGGCTGCAGATGCATGTCAAGGTACCGGATTAATTAATGCTGTACCTAAAAGTATTGCACGAAAACAAATCTTCACCCCTTTAAGCCCTGAGGTGGTCCTGGACATAAACCTCCTGTTAAAACATGTAAATTCAAAGGTCAGGAGAAATATATCTCAACCAAATTCGCCTCCTTACCCATCAGAGTAATGTAAAACAGTATGCAGAATACAGGTGTTGACGTTAAGGCTTAAGGGTTTTATTTGACAATCTTCTTGGACAGTATGATAAAAAGGACCATCAATAACGATCACATTCTATACTTCAGTCAATTGCTATCTAGTCAGAATGCTCGCCGTAAGCTAGCCTGTTCACAGACGTTTTTCTTCTTTCTTTTTTCCCTACAATTTGGTGAGTGCACTTGCTTCGCTCGGGTGCAACAGCAAGCATGGAGCACAAACATGAGCGGTGTTTATTTCATAGGTGTGCTCGATGATCTCTTAAGAGAAAATATAGGGTCTGTGAACAGGCTAAGATTATACATGTGAAACCCAGTGGCAGTTCTGTAACCACAAATTTTAATACAAACACAGCAAGAAACTACATCCACCATTTAAAACCTGTGTGCATGTAATGCAGTCCTTAGTTATCACATTACAAAAAAGCACAAACAATAAACAATATTGTTTGGTGGATCTAACCCCTTACATGGACTTGACTGTACATTCTAGTAAAGTATTAAGCAAAAAAAGCTGCCTGACTCTTCTTAACAGCAACCCCCTTTCTTCTCTTGTGTATTGCTAACGTGAATGTTTTGAGAAGTTTCCTCATTGTCCTTGGTCAATTGTTTCTTAAGGATATCTTCAGCTAGGTTGTAAAAGGCTTGCTCGATGTTGATGTTGGTTTTGGCACTTGTTTCCAAGAACCTTATGCCATGCTCTCTGGCAATCTAAGGTGGAGAGGAACCAAAGAAACCAGCAATCAAAACCCTTTTTCTTCACAAATATACATACATGTAAAGTACGTACACTGTTTACAGGTCGCCATTATGGCACCTTAAGGGGGATCATCAGGTTATCTCTGTATTATGATCTCTCCTTACAGATAACCCACCTAGTCCAGGAAAGGTTGGCCACACCACACTCTTTTCGAACAGTCGTGTGGGTTCTTTTACGTCCCACAAGAATCAGATAAGTGAAAGTGTTGTGAGATGGGACCTACAGTTTTTCTTCCTTAACTGAGAAGACTAGAAAGTTTAACTGTTCGCAGAAGTCATTACAAAGGCAACACTTTCTTCTCAGTTATTTAAAAACCCCGAGCATTTGTCTGGCCAGGGGTTGAAGCTGTGACGTCCCACTCAACAAACCAGCGCTCTCCCACTGAAATACCAGGTGAGCTTTTGCATGGAAACATGATATCTTCACACATGAAAAGATCACCATTGCTACGGCTACATAATAAATTGCGCCTTCGGCAGCAAAGACATATTTAAGTGAAGTGGTTTGGTATTTCATTGGTCTTTACATAACAAATAGAACATTACATGGCTGCTTGGAGATACGAAAATTCTCTTCTTGTGTTAAAAAAAATACTTCACTTGATCGCTGCGCTCACTCAAGAAAATTAATATTTTTCAACACTCAAAGAGAAATTTTGAATCTCTGTGCCGCCATGCGATATCGTCTGTCACCGTATGTAATGATGACAGGGATGTCACTAAGATTTCAAGTTGCTGGGTAAATACAACAAGTAGGCAGGGAATCAAACAGCTAGGGATTTCTTTTGGTTCTATTTTTCTTCTATTTTCCTATGAAAATAACCGGGGACCATGTTCATAGTAGCGGTGGGAAATCCCCGGCCCCCGCCTCTTAATGACAGCCCTGGATGATCATGACTATTCTAATGAAAAAAATAGAGGCTAATGTTTCATACAATCTTATTGTGTTTGCCACTTCTTTGCAAACTTTAATAACAGAACCATGCATTTTGACAGAAAAAGCCATGGTTCTCTTTAAGCGAGGAGAACCATTCGTGAACAAGTTTTGCATCTTATTTGGGGGAGTTACCATGGAAATCTTTTCCAGTTTGAACCTACCTGATCACCACGCTCCTTGCTGACAACTCTTCTATCATCCATATCACATTTGTTACCGAGGATCATCTTTTCTACATCTTCATTTGCATGCTGAAATAAAGTGCAAAAAATTACAATGACATTATTGAAGGTCAATCCATTGGGTTTAAAAAACGGTTTAAATTAGGTCTAAAATAGTTTCATGTAAGATCAAAGAAAAAAAATTGCAACAAGGACAAGTTACATGTGTATAAAATAATGCACACTTTCCAAGTGAGGTACACAGCCCAAGCCTCGGAAGCAGGAAGGAACGGAAAACATGCAAGAGGAAGCGAAAATCTCTCTCTTCCGCCTCTTCAGTCTCCTGTTTGCCTTCAAGAGGAATTTCTTTCATGATGCTTTAACGAAACAGCTAGCTATGAAGGTTAAGTTTAACTGGAACTTCTCACAATACTGGGTGTTCAAAGATACAAAACCTTCAAAGGGGATGAAAAGAAATTTTATGCAACAATACAATTTTCCCTTGGTGATTATTGTAGTAGACTCCAGTGAATCATTTTAGTAAGTGCGGTATGTGGAAAAGTGATTTTCATTCACAACAAAAACGGAAAGTACCTCTTCAATGTTCCGTAGCCACTTTGAAATGTTGTCAAATGTCTTCTCTTGGGTTATATCATACACAAGCATAATGCCCTGCAAATATCAAAAAAACTCAGACTGATGCTTAATTAGAACTGCATTGAGTATCATGTGCTTTATAACTTAGCATTAGTCCTTCTAGCTACATGTAGCTCCTATTATAAGTAATGGTGCAATGTTGCATCATATTAATGCTAAGGTGTGACAACTCCAATGAACTACTACAACAGTCCTTTTCCATTGTCTTTAGAATAACTTCTTGCTTCTGTTGAAAAGATGAGGTTAAAATAACTCACAAAGTTGCTTTCACCTACCATTGCTCTTCTATAATATGATGTTAAAAAGATAGAGTTAAATGCTTGTTTATATCTCAAAAAGTAAATAATTCCACTCACCATCGCTCCTCTATAATATGACGTTGTTATTGTGTGGAAGCGC